GTTCGAATCTGCCAGAGCTCTCGACAAACCCCGAAACAGGGACGGCATACTTTCGAACGGCAACTTACCGCCATGTTTGCGGACTTCAGTGTTAAGATATTCTAGAATTTCCGCTCGCTGTGCATAACTATCATCGCAAAGCTGGTCCAGCACAACATCTTCCTCCATAGTTTTTGAAATGTTTCTTGTTCTCATGAAGTCTTCATTATTGATGTTATACACTGGAAACTTGGCAACCGTACTCGCCATCCAACTCGATGCTTACGTCGCCAACGGCGGACACATTCAATATACTAATCCGATCTACCTAATGCTAGATAACTGACGTAACATCGTGATCACATGTTAAGTGATTCCACAGTGGTAAAATATCGTCTAACTGCGGTAAACTTAAGTTGAAAACCATGTAAATCTGGGATCAAAATGGCGATCACCAGCTCGCTTGAGATCTTTCAATCACGTGATCACAACAAGGTACCCGGATGACACGTAAAGCTACAAGCAGATTGCAGCCAGGGTCAAAGGGCATGTCCAAGGTATAAGCGTGGTGTTTCCATGGTGAGGAGACTATACACAATACCCAGGTCAATGATGTCAGATTCGCCAATGTCAATATCAAACAGGTGAAAACAACAACAACTAGCAAAGCTAGTACAAAACATTTTACTGCCCACTGTTAACATCCTTTTTAATCGAGTTTCGATGTTTTTTTGTGAAAAAAACAACATAGGTCTTAACTGAAATAATAATTATTATTTTTATTAATATATATTGAAACATATTTTACGTTAGGAAACCAGACGCTCGGTGTGCCACAATGACATGCACTTCTTTGATGCCACACACAAAAAAAAAATATTTAGTTTTTCCTGCACCTAAAAAATACTAGTTTTATTTTTATATTATGTTTGCCGGCTACTAAATTTCCGAAAGTAGGACATCATAGGTTCGCCGGACCACTTGCCATATATAACGTCCCCTCCGGGGGATGTTGTGTGTTAATAAATAAATAAATATAGACAGAACAGGATATCTTGTATGCTTGTGTCAATTTTCTAAGAATTGCAAATAAAACCGTTGAAATACAAACTAAGTTATTAAAAATACATTGTCCCACAATACATTCAAGCCAAATAATTACACCATGCATGCTTTATTGTGTTCGGGTGTGTTTCTTAATAAAAGGAGGGGCGGTGTAACATGAAAACATCATTGACATTCTTGTTATAATTTCCGTGCTTTAGTCCTGTTATGTTCGTGATCCCCCTGCTGAAAATGGTCATACACTACTTACTCGTGGAAACTTTATCACCATGATGAAGAAATCCGAATATTTTAAAACTTCACCCTGTAAATAATGGCTGGCGCCAAAGGAAGCAACTACATTGTTTGCGAATGTGTACTTGTTGGAAATTAGAATAATTCGTGAATTAACCGCTTGTTCAAAGCATGCTTTTATCTGCCGGGTTTTGCATTGCGTGAAGACAAGTGCTTTCTATTGTGCATATTAGTTTCGTTTAATCAATTGGCATGTTTAGCCACGAATCGGACGAAGCGTGTTCATACGAACGACTTGTTTCCAGTGTCAATACTGACCCCCCCCCCCCCAAGCTACCGGTGATATTTGTTTTACTATGTAAAGGCGGCACCTACGTTTTTATTCATTTCTCAGCTGATTTCTGTCGCGTTTTAACATGTTGGGATCGCCGCCCTTGAGGGCAGCATACATACTCTTTCATTTGTGTTTGTTAAAAATACAATACGAACGAAAAACAGGTGAGTGTTGTTTAATACTGCATGTTAAGAACCAACTTACATTTTTCTTTTTCTTTACAACACACTGTGTAATATTTGTTCGATAAAAACACTGTTACAGCAAAGACACTAGAAATAGTGTCTTTGGTTACAGTGACTGTTATTCGTATGTAGCGCCAAAACATACTAGTACAATGTATATGAGAATTACATTGTTTATTTGAAAACCCAGGTTTGTGCTACAAGAACAGCGTTCTTAGTATATTATCAATCATGACTCAATCTATTCATCAAAAATAATGTTCTCGTACATATTACTATTGCGAAACCGCGCGAATCTTAAATTGTAGGCTGGTGACATAGGTTCAAAAAAATATATATTCTTAATGAGTAGGTTTCTATCTTAATGATTTCAAGCGTGACAGACTTGCTGTTGTTTTTATGAAATATTGCGCAATTTTGTGTTTTGTTTTTCCTTGTTTTCTACATTTTATGTGGTATTATGTGCCCTTGTTGCCAGGCCTGCAAATTTCTGCTTCTTGACTGATTGCTGCCGTTGATGGCGTGCTTGAGCATATTTGAGTCGATGCTTCGGAATAGTTTCCTCATAGCAAAGTCAATCTCTGCTTCTTGCCACCTAGCAGAATCAATCACCACTTTGAATAATTAACTCTGTCTACTTGAACATGACATGTACTATCACCCTTGGCTATGTTCTGCAGTTACCGTTGTTAGGTCGACTATATACGTCCATTCTACACACTCTGATCTTTCCAAATACTAATGGCATTTTAGCTCTACGTTTGTAGCACGTCAGATATAAACTCCTTCATTTGAAACATATTTTTTATTTTATTTTTTTTAATTGAAAAAAACACAGTTAGTTTACCAATAGAGACAAGTGATGGTGATGCCACAAAACATCAAACAAGAACACTTTCATAATTTCACAGTGAAATAGACAATATTTTATTTACTCTCCAAGCTGAATTTGTAGTAATCCTGTTTCTCATAAAATTGGAATAATAAAACATTCAATGTTTTATGCTTTATGACTGTCTTTAAAAATGAACGACTGTCTTTTTTTAATATTTTTAATTACGCTTTATTGTGAACCATGACAAGGAAGTTGTAGTGATTTATTTATTTTTATGCATAAAGGACTTTTGTTATGCTTCAGTGAAGAGGTCATGTTCACAACAAGACACTTGTATGGATCGATACAACTCATAATTTGATAATAAAAATGTCCCGTACTTTTTATTAATCATTTTCTGTTTAAACTTACGTTCCCGATTATGGCAGTAAACTTTTAGTAGTACGTGTATATTAATTAGTATTAAAACAAACTTTTTCTCTCGAAAAAACAGTACTAGTTCATTTGCATGGATAACTTATATTTTGTATACCTTACACACAAATACGAGTTAATTATTCAGCCTTCTTTGTAAACTAGTATATTCATCTACTTAACTTGAACTTCTTACAAACTGACCGTAAACTGTTTTTTTTTTTATATTTGAGGCATAATAACGCTATCATGATACAAACTAACATCTAATGGAACGAGTCTGGTTACTAATTCACGTTCTGAAATGTACCCATATTATTATTAGCAAACGGTCTATAAACTAAAAACTTTAGCACATTTAAGAAAATCTTATGATTTCAGTTTCTATGGATAGACATTTATATGACTTTGATATCATGACGTTTGTCGATTAAAAATATATTTAAAAAAATGAGGATGTCATCAAAGAAATTATCGACACCATTAATGTGTTGTTACGATGAGTACTTTTTAGTACGACACATACACGTACCGGTGTCGCGGTACCTAGGGTATCAGTCTGTCGAAAGTTTACGAGTACAATCATATACTCTGGTTGTGGTATGTGACTTACATGATAGAAGAAGACATTTCTCTATTTTTGTGCGTATAGAAACATGACGAGTAAGGTCCCTTATGGATATAGATTTCAAAGACAAACCTTACATACCTGTTCATAATCCATGAATTAGTGGCATCGATTTATACACAGACGTGCGGGTTGTCGTCCGCCACCGTCTGAGGGCGCAATTCATGCAATACTCAATATTGTGACAACTATTATACTAGTAACTGTTATAGGCGCCAGGTTCCACCTTTTTTGTCTAGCTTAACGTTGATCGGCATAATTTCATGAAAATATACCTTCAATTCGTGAAGTTCATTGGTTACCACAGTCAGGTGGTATATAGAATGTCGTAAACCGACGTGAACATACCGGGAATTACCTTAGCAAAACGAGAAGTAACGGAAGGGCTGGAAAACTATTGACGTGTTTGCGTGTTCACACATACTGAATTTTGGGAGATTATATATTTTAGTGAATGACGGTAATTTTGTCATAGACTGGCTCTGTCGTGGCAATTTTATATATTTTTTTTCTTAAATCTTATCATATAAACAATAACTGGGCCAGTCCAAATTTGTCAGTGCAGAACGCTTTTACCCTTGGTTCTTAAATTGAAGATATTATGTCATTTTTCAATTCGTATGACCAAGCGTTGGCTGTTGATCCCAACTACCGCACGTTCTTTTTCACTGCTTACTAATAGCTAACTAATATCACACAAGCTAATTTATGTTTGTTCCTTATACAAGCATACAACTACACAACGTATATCATCGGGACGTGAGTGAGCAATAACTTGAAGAGTTCGCCTGTCAATGACCTCAGTAGACTTTATATTGTAAATACGATTTATTCAAATTATTCAGCATTATTTGTAAACTCGTTAAATAAGTCTAAAGACAAGTTCTAGATTCATAGATGAATTTATGTTTTTATTTGATGGCTTATTTTTTTAAAGCGCGGTGGTCGTCGCGCAGCGCGTGTTCGAATTTCATGTAAATAAACAATGTATTTTACACGCGTTGTACACGTCGCTGTAAGTCCCATATCGAACAAGACGCGGCGCGACGACTGCCGCCCTTTAACCAAATGTTTCGTTTCCAATAAATCTGACAATAATTGTATGGTGCAGTGTACATTGATACTGAGTATATTGTAAAACTCGACGGGTTACTGCATTTATTTTGTTTCAGTACGTGAGTGAAACTTTAAAATGAGATGCTTCCTCGGACTGTAAAAAATGCCCGTACTTTCATCATAGAATAGACCATTTTCCGTTCACTGCGAGAATCACGCGTTATGCGTGAAATCGAACGTAAAAACAGCCTGAGGACAAACAAAGGTCATAGCGTCGTAGTGGCGTCAAACATCGCGTGAGATTCGACAAACGCGAAAGTATTTTGGGGGACATTTCCATGTCAATAATGTGCTGTACACATTTGATGATAGACAATTTCGATTAAAAGAGGATATTCGAATGCAATATTCCTCTGTCGAAGATCAGCCGGTCGGTGTGAGCTACGAAATAAAGAAATTCGAGTTCAAAATCAAATCGTTCGATTTTTGCGGCAGACGTTCGACGCGCGTCTTTCATGCATCTCGCGAGATCTCGCAGTTGTACGGAAAATCACCAATTAAAGCGCGGTGGTCGTCGTGCAGCGCGTGTTCGAATTTCATGTAAATAAACAATGTATGTTACACGCGTTGTATACGTCGCTATGAGTCCCATATCGAACAGAACGCGGCACGACGACTGCCGCCCTTTAAAATTACAGTATGAACGAAAACATATTTATTTTTTTATTATTGAGTTTGCTGTGCTCCATGCTGTGGATCAAATTATGATATTATAAATTAAAAATGTTTCATCGGACGCCGTAATATTCAGATGTGTGCTACAGGAAGAGCGTTTTCATGTAATCATTAATCATAGTCAAATGTATATATTAATATACAGTATCAAACAACAACACTACATATTTTACTCGTCCCTAACACATTCTTACCCCCCCCCCAACAAAAACGGGGGATTTCGGCCGCACGTTCACTCTGACTAGTTACAGACATGATGTCTAAAATGTGCAATGGTATAACTTAGGGCTTGATCAATCTAAGTTCAATGACAGGACAACTTACTAGGAATAAAAATATACTACATGTAAAGTCAGTACGTGTATTTGTCCGACACTAATTTAATTTGTAATCTGTCTAACACAAGTGTTTTTATTTTCTCCGCTGTAGATGTTTTTTTTTTCACCAATCTTGCAATCACCCGTAAAATGGCCCACGATTCGGCACAAACAATCACGAACGCTGGTAAGTGGACAAATAAACTTTAAGCAAAAATGATTACGGAGAAATAAATACTTTTCATGGGGTGTTGAAATATATATCTGTAAGGGCTTCCTCAAAAGCCCCCCCCCCACACTTCCCAGTTTCATTCGTTTTACTCGCAAAATTATCACTTTTATTTGTTGCATTTATCCTTAGTTTTAGATGTCACTCGAGGTCACAGTGTTGCCAGTACGAATCACTAATAACATCTTCGTCTTCAAAACTCACGCCGCCATGCAAATACGGCGAGTCTATTTTGAGATGATGAGCATCACCATGGAAAAGAGTGTAGCTTGCTTGCGCGCAGTCGTCATGGGACGACTAAAGCCATTTAGCTTAGTGGGGAGAAATGGTGATGTTTAGACATTGATACGGTGTATGGATAAAATAACACCCATGTATGCAAAATGACTGTATAAAGCAATTCAAAATAAGCTTTATTATGTTTACAGCTATATAACGTGATATCTGCGCCTAGCGATTTGATGACAACGCAAATATAGGGTTCATTAAAGCCAGCCATATTGGAATTGAAGACCGGCTAACAGCGTCTAACTTGCGTAAATCGATCTGTTTCCTTTTCGTCCATCATTCACGTTTGGACAATCAGAACGCTAACACGGTGGTATCATGCTAAATACCTGGTAGGAAGGTTTTCGCAGTTTATGGAAAACTGCCAAATCGTTTAAGGACACGAAGACAATCAGAATGGACCTGACAGAAGACGCACATAATGCGAACAGTGTGGTTTGTATCGGTGAGCTTGAGCTGTACTCGGAACATCTGCTCCATGGACTAAACGAGCTGAGGCAGCGGGAGGAACTTTGCGATGTGGTCCTCCGTATAGGGGACACTAAAATCCGGGCTCATCGCGCCGTACTTGCCAGTTGCAGCCCATACTTCAAGGCCATGTTTACCGGGAACATGTGTGAACGAGAAAAGGAAGAGATCGAGTTCAAATCTATCGACGAATCTGCCATGAAATTATTAGTCGATTTTGCCTACACGGGAAAGGTGCATGTTTCCCAAGTTACAGTACAGTCGTTGCTGCCTGCTGCCGATCTGTTACAATTGAAATCCGTTACTAAAAAATGTTGCGATTTTTTAGAGGGACAGTTACACCCAAACAACTGCATTGGTATTGCCAAGTTTGCTGAAACTCATGCCTGCTGTGGCTTGTACCGCAAAGCATACACTTACATTTTTCAACACTTCGAGGATGTAATTGAAACAATTGAGTTCTGTCAACTGGAAGGAAGTGAGGTGGCCGAACTGTTATCCAGTGATGACCTGAACGTCAAATCGGAAAAGTCCGTATTCCACGCTCTTAAAACTTGGATAAAATACGACATCAACAAAAGACGATGCTACCTGTCCAGGTTACTCCCAAGTGTTCGGTTACCATTACTGACGGTGAAATTTCTGACTCAGTCCTACGAAGCTGACCAGTTGATTCGCGACGACTACACCTGTCAAGAACTAGTGAATAAAGCTCTTAAATACCATCTCGTTGCTGAAGAGAGACTTCGCGTGTCTCCGCAGATGGAGAGAAGTATCCGCCCAAGAAGAGAACCTAAAGTCATCTGTGCTGTTGGTGGCAAAAATGGTCTCTTTGCGACCCTTGACAGGTAGGTACTAAACGCTATAAAGCACACAGAATAAAACTTTATGACTGCAGTTTATTTGAATAAACAATTTCCAGTTTGCTTCAAATAAATGTATTGTTTTATTACTAAGCTGTTATTTATGTTTATTTCAGTGTAGTTCAATTAATTTGCGATATCGTATTATTTTAATTTATGTGGGTTTTTGTGTCGTAACTACCCCACCACAGAAGAAAAAACTGTTCATATCAATTTGTTTTCCAAATTTTATAATTGTGCTTTTATTTTGATTTTTTTTCTTGAATAATTTTTTTTTCATTTTTGTTCTAAAAATTTAACACAAAATCTCTAAACATTTTCAATTAACACATGCAATAACCTAAAACATTATTTTTTCTTGATTTATTTAAACCATACTGTCACTTGTTTGTAATTAATCCTAAAGCGTTTGTCCAAATAAATTTTCCACAGAATGCCTCTGTTTAATTTAGTTGACGAGAAAAATTAGATATTCAGAAATAGTACTATTAGTACCTGAGGATTACAAAGATGGCAAAATTCAGATATAATATTAGAAATAATTGGTGTTATAGGATAACACCCCCAGGAAAGCTCCACAATACCTGACCTTTAGGCCCGGCCTTTAGAAGTCATACATGAAGCCTAATTTTTTACACACCCATGGTAGTTTATAATTCTGAAGAAATGAGGAAAATTTGTTTGTATGCAAATACATCTGTCCATCAAATATTAGGATTCATCTGAATTCAAAGTTGTACATTTCACAGCTGTGGTGGCATCGTACAAACACATTGACTCAATGTGAAAACATTTTTAGTTCGTAATAATGAAATCATCACCAGTTGAGCAGGTTTCATTCAGTTTCTTGTTTCCTTGTGATATATTTGTTTTAGCATTTAAAATTCTTGGCTCTTTGTAGTTTTGAATATGTGTTGCTTCTGTCATTAGTTAACATATATGCACAGAATGGATTAAAACTGGAGTAGTGCATATAGAATGAGTCACCATACATGTCTAGACACAGTTTCAAACTATCCAGTAATTTGTAATATTGGAGTATAAATCTGCACTGGTGTGTTAAGTCTATTCTGTCTCATAAGAAGCAGTTAAGTTATAATATTGGTTGTTGGCAAGCAATTCAATATTTACATGTATACTTCAAACAGGAAGGTTACTGGAGTTTATTGTTATGAATACATTCTCTCTCCGTTCAGCAACAAGTGATTTATTCATTGGCACGTCCCACCAGGGCCATGCTATTCTTATATTGTATGGCCGCTTGCTAGGAGTCAAGACTATATCTATCCTCGTGTGGACAAGTGTCAACAATTGCTTTAAATGGTCGTAAAAAGTAACATAGATGAATGGGTAAAAGCAGAAAACTGTAAATATGGGGACGGGACTGTTAATGCAACAATGTAATGACCCCTGCTTTGTGGTGTTTACAACCATGTATAGGTGTGTTTAACCTGTATGTGGTCTGTACATTAAGTGGTTATAAAAGCTGGCCTTTGATCTTGCCTCTAGACTGTAGCGTGTGATCTAAAATTGATGTTTGGTTCTCTGGTAATGTATGTACCACCATTTGAAGGTTACCGCAAGGTTGAACAAAATAATATTAAATAATGCTGAACATATTTACATATATATTATGCAGTTATTTACTCTAGATATAACGTGCCTAGTCATAATTGTTCCAAGTTGCTAAGGCAACAAAGTTTCTATATTTGCATGTACCTATTTGCTGGTATATTCATATGCACTGTTAAGAGTTGTACATGTGTGAGTGCTGATTATATTCATGGTTTTCGCATTTTGTTGGACATTTTGATGTTGAAAGTACTGTTCGTTTTTTATTCTGTAGACCAGGCGTCAAAACTCTGCATTGATATGACTAACTGAGGTTTAGACAACCAATTTGTGTAACTAGGGAAGTCCTGGTGTAGAAATGTGGCACTTTATTATGCCAGGTCCATGTGTGTAACCTAATGTGCTTTGTCCCACCGTCATGTTCGAATCGGTAGGTTTGAAGCGACATGTGCAACGTTTTTTAGAATATTAGTATGCGCATTGCATTACGATTGTGGCATTGAAACTTAAAAGAAAAACTCTTGTACAATGAATGAAATGTCTCTGTTCTGAAAAATGAAAATCGTTCAGTGAATCAGACATGCTATCAAACTAATCTTGTTTATTTCACAGTACCATGGTAACAACGATTCACTGCTACCACCAATCTTTGATATATCTAAACATTGATACGAGTGACCATCCTAAAAGTCTTGTCGCTATGTACGAACTAAGACTTAAGCTAATCTCGTACGTTTGCATATTGCCATAGAACCAATTGCATTAGTTCTCACATGGGAGGATAACTGACTGGCTGGCTGACTGTCGGCCATCTTGCTTTTTGAACATACTACTATATATCTCCAAGGCTTAGGGACCATTTTCAATCATATTTGGCACATACATCATACATACAGCAATACATGTTCATGTCAGTTTGTTCCATAATCAGATCAAAGATGGCCGATTGGCATCCATCTTGTTTTGTTGAAAATGTAGCATATTGGACAAGACTTGTCAGTTTTCATTCAATTCAAATTACTCAATATGAAATCTAGATCAACCTCAATTTTTTTGTGACCAATTTTGGCCGACAGAAAAATTTGTTAAAGAGCGAAATTATTGCATATACAGACAATGACAAAATACTTTTAACAGTACTGACACCCAGATACTACTATACTATTTTTTCTCCAAATTTTGCTCACGAAATAATTAGTTTTGAAACACTGCCTGGTTTTTAGAATACAAACTCGCGTTGAAATCTTGTTAATGAAGATGTTGAGTGACATTCAAAGTGCATCATTTGTTGCATGAAAGTCACATTTCCATCAAAACACAATTGCTTGCAATGTTTAGCTTGCGAGCTAGCATTGTAGAAAAAGGCAAAAGTTAGAAGAAATTACATTTACATTACAGTACTTTTACCTTAATTAATCTCTTCTTGTTAAAAAAACATCATTCACAAAAATCAATGCCAATGGATCATAATCGCTTTTACCTCTATAATAATGAAATTTACTTTCGAAATGCATTCTTTAGGAATCCTGATTCTGATTGTTTAATAACATTCTTCACCTATCAAGTCAAAGGACATTGTGGCAGGTCAACTCATAGCTATGAGTCCATAGCACTTCTTGTATGTGTATTTAGTCTTTGTGATAGTATTTCAGTATGGTAATTCTGGTACATTTGGTATCCTTAAAATTATTTTTGGATATTTCATATACAAATTATTATTGTTATTATTACAAACTCGTCCTTTTCCTGGTATTAGTAGCTCTTTGTGTTCTAAAATGTAAGGACTATAATGGCCAACAAAAAATATTTGTTATATATTTATTATATAAATATTTGTTCATACATCACTCATGACTTGGAGAAGATTGTTGGATATTCTTGAATCTTTAAAATTGCAGGAATATAGGAATTGCTGCATAAATTAAAAATAACAAAAAAAAGCATGTTGTGCAATACTGTTGATGTGCATAGTAATGAGGGTGTTACTGATATTAATAATGTACTCATTTACATACCAGGAATGCAGGAATTGCTGCATTCCTGGTAAATGAAAAAACCCAAAAACAAGCATGTTGTGCAATACTGTTGATGCGCATAGTAATGAGGGTGTTACTGATAATAATAATGTACTCATTTACATACCAGGAATGCAGGAATTGCTGCATTCCTGGTAAATGAAAAAACCCAAAAAACAAGCATGTTGTGCAATACTGTTGATGCGCATAGTAATGAGGGTGTTACTGATAATAATAATGTCCTCATTTACATACCAGGAATGCAGGAATTGCTGCATACCTGGTAAATGAAAATAAACAAAAAAACAAGCATGTTGTGCAATACTGTTGATGCGCATAGTAATGAGGGTGTTACTGATAATAATAATAATGTACTCATTTACATACCAGGAATGCAGGAATTGCTGCATAAATGAAAAAAAAGAAAAACAAGCATGTTGTGCAATACTGTTGATGCGCATAGTAATGAGGGTGTTACTGATAATGTAGTCATTTACATACCAGGAGTGCAGGAATTGCTGCATAAATGAAAAAAAGAACAAGCATGTTGTGCAATACTGTTGATGCGCATAGTAATGAGGGTGTTACTGATAATAATAATGTACTCGTTTACATACCAGGAATGCAGCAATTGCTGCATAAATGAAAAAAACAAAACACAAGCATGTTGTGCAATACTGTTGATGCGCATAGTAATGAGGGTGTTACTGATAATAATAATGTACTCATTTACATACCAGGAATGCAGGAATTGCTGCATACCTGGTAAATGAAAATAAACAAAAAAACAAGCATGTTGTGCAATACTGTTGATGCGCATAGTAATGAGGGTGTTACTGATAATAATAATGTACTCGTTTACATACCAGGAATGCAGCAATTGCTGCATACCTGGTAAATGAAAATAAACAAAAAAACAAGCATGTTGTGCAATACTATTGATGCGCATAGTAATGAGGGTGTTACTGATAATAATAATAATGTACTCATTTACATACCAATTGCATAATAATAGCTTAATGTTACATGGAGTTTTGATTCATTATTTTTAGTTCAGTACTACTGGTAATTCCTACACAAGCTGTCATTTTGATTTTAACACTGCCAATTTCAGCTAGATTCAGTGGCATGGTGATTCATACAGTGAAGTAAGAATCAATATATTTTGTTTCTTGAATTCTTTCTTGTACTCTCATAATATAATTCTGCATTTAATCTTTATGTAGCTTTACTATTAATCTTCAAATTTATGATTAAATTTGTGTTTTCCATCAGTCAGACCTTTTTGATGACTCAACCTCGCTGGTATATATATTGACATGTACATGTGTGCTATTTTTTTGTAGTAACAAGCAATTATTATGAGACGATAATATCTTAAGCTCACATCTGAGTTCA